ACACACACACACACACACACGCGCTCAGAGGTAATCTCCAAAGGAAGGTACTAAGATGAAGGAGAACAGGGAAAGGCTTCTTGTACCACATGGGACCTTAGCTTAGACTTGACAGAAGCCGAGCAAGCTAGGACAGAAGGAGGTGGAGGGAAAACATTCCAGGCATAGGGGACAGTCAATGAAAATGATCCAAGTCCAGGTGGAATGCCTTCACCAGGAACAACAGGAGGCCGGTGTCGATGGGTAGCAGAGTACACGGGTGTGATGAGTAAGGTCTAAGAAGACTGGGAAGGTAGGAAGGGGCCACGTTATGAAGGGCTTTGAAAGCCAAACAGAGGGTTTTATATTTGATCCTAGAGGTAATGGGGAGCTATTGCAGCTTATTTAGTAGGGAGGTCAGACCTGTACGCTAGGAAGGTCAGTTTGACAGCTGAGTAGAGAATAGATTAGAGTAGAAAGAGACAAAGGCAAGAAAACTGTCCACTAAAGTATCACAGTAGTCCAGTGCTGAGGTGGTAAGAGACTATCAGGGTGGTTGCAGTGTCAGAGGAGAGTACAGGGCATATATAAGAAATGTTTCAAAGGTAGAAATGACAGGGCTTGATCGCTAATTGGCTATAGGGGATGAGAGTGTAAGGTGTTGAGGATGGCACCTCAATTGCAAGTCTAAGTGACTTAGGAGGATGGTGATGACTTCAACAGTAATAGGAAAATTCAGAAGACAGGAGGGTTTGGGGGGAAAAGATAATGAGTTCAGTTTTGGACATGTTGAGTTGTCTATAGGACATCCAGTTTAAGATGATTAATAGGCAGTTACTAATTTGAGATTGGAGGTCAGCAGATTTACAGTAGGGTTACAATATACAGTACAATAGGTTACAAGTGGATAAGTTATAAATAGATCTGAGTCATCTGCATAGAAATGATCATTGAAATCATAGGAGCTGATAATATCACCAAGTGAAATAGTATAGAGGGAAAAGAGGGCCTAAGACAGTATTAGGGGGACCGTCCCCTATGTTTTTTATGGGGGGGTTGTTTTTTTGGGGGGAGGTTTGGCTAGGCAGTGGGTTTAAGTGACTTGCCCAGGGTCACACAGCTAGTAAGTGTTATGTGTCTGAGGTTGGATTTGAACTCAGGTCCTCCTGAATCCAGGACCGGTGCTCTATCCACTGCACCACTTAGCTGCCCCGACCCTCCCCTGCTTTTAACAGGAACGAGGTGAGTGTAATCAAAAAAGAAGACAGATGAGATAGGGAAGGAGTGGTGAGATAGGGAAGAGGAAAACTAGAATACAGTAGTGTCTTAGAAATCCAAAAGGAAGAAAATATCAAGGAGAAGAGGGTCAAATTAACTGTCAAAGGCTACAGAAACTGACCATTAAGCTTTTGAAGTAAATACCTATTTTCTAAGATTTCTAAGATATTTTAAATTATTCTATTTTTACCATCATCATTATCATTTATATAGCACTTTAAGGTTCACAAAGCACTGAATATATATTATTTCACTTGGTTCTCAAAACAACCCTGGAAAGTAGGTGCTATTATTATGTCCATTTGACAGATGAGGAAACTGAGGCTGAGAAAGGTTAGGTGACTTGGCCCAGGGTCACACAACCAGTGTCTGAGGCAAGATTTGAACTCAAGTTGTCCTGACTCCAAGTCCCTCACTCTCTCCCACTGCACCACAGCTACCCCACTTAAGTAGCTGATTAAAAAATACTTTAAGGAATTGAAAAAGGCCTTCTTTACCTTTCAAGAGCAGTGCACGTTAAACTATCGATTTGAAATAGACTTCCTAAGAAAGTATTGTCGTGTTACCCAATTCAACCAAGTTATACAACAGTATAACACTTTGTAAACCACCTTTGTTAAACAACCTTTGGATACTTTGCGACTGTGTGGTCTTTTGGAAATGTGCCATCAATCTTATTTTTGAACAGAGGCCTAAAATTTTCAACTAGCACTTATATTACAGGATTTTCAGATCTAGTAATCCAAACTTTATGTACAATTGAAATTGAAGAAGAACCACAAGATTGCCAATTTTCTTTTAAATAGGTAATACAACTCAGAGAAACACAAAGGTATAGTTGCAATGACAATTTCTCTGCCTACATTTTTCTTGCTACTCACTTGTATTTAGTTGAAATTAAAATACAATTTTCTAATCTCATAAATCTCAGTTCATTTCAAAGCAGTGAAGGACTCTGATCTCTTGCTCCCCTGGGCCTAATATGTATTCCTGCTTTTCTGATTCTGAGATAAAAAAAGGAAGAGATTGGGGTTTGGCAAGAGAACATGCCTAGAACATGACTCACTTCCAGCTTCCTACAGTTAGTTATGAAAATGATGGGGGTAGACAAACATTTTAATCTTAATGTGTAAGAAACTAGGTTAGCTATTTCTTCATTAACTAGTTTTATAATTAACAAGCCCAGTTGGACTAGATAACCTCTAAGGTCCCTTCCAACTCTGATTCTAATATATTTGTCATACAGAACAAAATGTTTTCAGTGGATTATTTGAATATTCGTATTTATATTTAGCATGAATTAATGTGTAATACCATGGGGAGCTTAGAATTCATTAGCTGGAAGTTAGAATGTAAATTAAATACCTTGATGCTATTGTTAACTTTCATTGGTAATTAAATTACTTAGTAATAGTGGAATGTAGGTAAGTTCCTGTAGAGTAGGGTGGTGTTTGTTTAGGCAGTGTGCACAAGTGCCCCAGCTGATAAAAACCTTTGGAATTTTGTGTGAGAGATGTCAAGTAGTTCAGTGAGGGCTGCACTATATAGATTGTGAGAATTCAGGAAGGATTTGTTAAGCACCTACTATGTGCCAAGCACTGTGATAAGCTCTGGGGATACAAAGAAAGGCAAAAGACAGTCCCTGCCTTCTAGGACCTCCCAATCTAATGGGGGAAGGAAAGTTTCATGTATAAATTCTGTTAAGTTTAGCAAAAGCTAGATTGTGAAGGGTGTTAAATACAAATCAGAGGAGTTTTTGTTTACTCCTACTGATGTCATTTCCTGGGATTCCAGGAAAAGCTCCCAAACTGGCAAAGCCAATTTCAGTGGGCAGATGGCGCTGTGAAGCCTGCCATCTCCCAGCTCCAGGCCCTTCCTATGACTGTCTGTCAGGCCTGCAGTCTTCATCCGCATTGTCTCTACCAGGCTTGCTTCAGGACTCAGCTCGAATCCCACCTTCCCCACTTCCCCCCACTGCTAGTGCCTTCCCTCGGAGATTTCCCTCCCTCTGTACTCTCTATATATTACATATACATACATATATGTATGTGTGTATGTAGCTTGCATGTACAGTTTTTTGCCTATTATCTCCCCCATTAGAATGTGAACTCCTTGAGATCAAGAGTCAAGTTTTTGCTTTTCTTTGTATACAAAGCACTTATCACAGGGCTTAGTACATAGTAAGTGCTTAATAAATGTTTGTAGACTGACTGACTTTGAGTCAGCTCATAAACATTTATTAAGCAATTACCAATTTGAGTGGGCAGATAGCAGCAAAAGCTTTAGGAGATGAGACTTTTATAGCTCAATTGTTAAGCTTGCCGTGCCCTTCAGAGCTTTCTCCACACCGACCTTGTCTGTCATGAACCAACCCATGTTTTTGCTTTCCCTGTTCTCCCTTTCCAGAGACACTTATATACTCAAGCAGTTTTACTACAATAAAACTGGTTCTAGGGCTGTTCCAGTAGTAGTACCAAGTCACGAATCTTCCTCTTCGGTCCAAGACAGTACTGCTGAGACTGCAGCTTAGGACTTGCTTTGGCTTATATGTATGCTATTTCTAAACTGAATAGCCCTGAATTGTTATTGCTGCTGGAAGGGTAGAAGGGGAAGGAGAAGGACAAGGGTGATTCACTTTATAGACAGTGACTCTTATGATAGGGATGGGAACATGGACCACGTTTGTGAATTCACTGATGCGTGGAGCTCCCTGAATAAAAGAACTCCCTCTACCGATGCAGATTGCCATCTTCTGTACAGTTTAGAGTCTTAGAAAGTTTCATAGAGCATCAAAAAAATGATTTGCCTGGATTCACGTAACCAGTATGTCAAGAAGCTGGACTTCAACCTCAAACTATAATTAATATCTTATTTTTTAAGAAAGAAAAAGGGAAGAAAAACCTAATCAAAGTGCAGTGTCCTATAAGAGGACACTGAACAGTAGCATTTTCTTAGGCTTCCTATCGTTTGTGAATTCACTGAGTTCTACCTTATAGGTGGGGGATGATGCTATCCTTGCCAGTTTTGTAGGCTTATTTGATTGGTTTTGTGGTTTTGTTCTTTAAGTATCTAAAAAAAGTATTATTTAAAAAATTTAATAATAATAATAATTTTTAATAAAAAAAGACACTAAGAATTGGGATAAAGTTGCTTAGTGCTGTAGTGATATGGGGTCTAAAACAAAGACCTTTATAGAATATGAAAGTATAGATAGGCCTCCTTATTTCCATTTTCATTAGTGGAGACACACCTATGCTAGCGAACTAGCTAATGTAGCCAAGTATGCTATGAAACAGAAAGGGAAGCCATGAACACCATCTCTTGGCAGAAGAAAGAAATCTCATTTTCCGAAAAAGATACAGAGGAATGGCTAGCTCACAGATCTTTTTTAACAGCTATGTCAAGAATTATTGAGCCACAAGATGGCGCTCCAACTTGAGAGAAATAATGTTACTTACGTTATTTAGGAAATACGACCCAATGTTCTTAAATCCAAGGAGAATATTAATTTTTCCATCTTTTTTTTTTTTTTTTTTTTGCCCATCTTTGCAATTTTCCTGAGCACTGAAATTTTGGGTGTCACAGTTGGAATGATAAGAGTTTGACTTTTGGACAAAATGGAACATAACCATTTGGGGCCAGGAACGTCCTTATACTGTTTATAATTGTTGACAGATCATGCATTTAAAAGTTCTCATATGTTCCCTTTTTTAAAAATTTCCTCTTCCTCCTTTGGACACAAGACGGTGCAGCACAAACTAGCCGAATTAAAAACACGTATCTGTGTGACCAGGGCTTTTGTGGACAGCTGTCTCCAACTGCACGAGGCAAAACGTCTGGACTCAGCTACTGCTTCCATGGCAAAATACTGGTATGTGTGTTCCAGTAGTTGAAGGGTGGTGTTTCTGCAGATAGCTGCGGAAGTGGGCCGACTGTACCCATAACTCTGAGCCCCTTACAGGGAGGAGGAGGCTGTTTCGATGCAAAGGAGTAATAGGAGGCCAGCTGTTTTTATTTGTTGAAAGGTCCTACTGAGACAGTTTAAGCCAGGCTGAGAATTCATCTGTCAAGAGAATTGGTAATGAATTCTTAACTCCTCTCAACTGGAATATCCAAAGGTTGAACTCGGGTCCCCATCAGAAAATTGTCCATTTTCAAAATTACTTGAAGCATTTGTTTCAAGAATTAATTATTCAAGCAAACATTTTAAATGTCATTTTAAGACAAAAAAAATGCCCAATTTGAATAATTTAAAAGTTCTGCTATTGCATAAAGGGAATATAATAATTATGAACAAGAGAAAGAGTTCAATCAAACTTCATATAGATTTTTAAGACCCAAGGATATGGGAACAAAGTCGGAGACAACAGGTTACTTTCTCTTTTTTAAAAAAAGAAACAATCTTATTACCTTGAAAACACTGTGGGGGAAAAAAAAAATTCTGTCATTATTCATTAACTTCAAATTCAGTCAGGCCAAAAGGAAAGCAAGCAGAAATAAACAGGATAGTACTTGTGTTCTTATACAAATAATTTAATTGCAGGTTGGAAAATAGCAAGTAGAAATTCAGAAAGGGCACCATTTGGGGAGATGTTTTAAATTGTACTATTTCCCCCCCCATCCCACCCCCTTCCCCAATTTCAGTTGTAACAGAGCAGTCCTCAGCATTCTTTGGAAAGACCTGGTATGATAAAGCTCATGTTAAGAGGTAAAGCAAGGAAATAGCTAGTTAGAACCTAGAAAATATTTCATATACTTGCCAAAGAAAGATATTTCCAAAATTCCAAGTGTCATTACCCCCAGAGTTTCCTATCAACCTTGTCTGTAAACAGTTGGATTATTGTACTTTTTCTACAAGGCAGATCTACCTCTTGAACTAAAAATTATTTGAGATAGAAAATTGTTAACATGATTATTATGTGTTTACCTTGAGTTTTTGTCTTTTTTTCCAGACTGGGAAGGAAGGGAGGAAATCTGAGTGTCACATTGCATTTTTTTTTTTTAAAGTAAGATGGGTAAAATTCCCATCCTGTTATCTTCTTAAGGAATTTTGCCTTAAGATGGATGAGATAGATGGGTGGGGGAAATCCAACACTTCATTTTTTTAAGTCCTTTATATTAGACTGTACTTGAAAAACAACACTATATAAATATGGTGAATTCTTTATTATATAAATCTATTTTTGCTGTATTAAAGGCATGTAATTTTAATTGGAGTTTCTTCCTTAGGGCTTCACTGTTACCTTTAAATGGTTGGTCTTTTTATGAATGTGACAGAAGTTACACTTAGAACTGCTGATGAATTTGGTGATAAGAAGTCAGAGAATAACTGTTTCGAAACTGAGATTTAGGCTATATATATATAAATACAAATCGTTGCTGAAGTTTGAGGTAATTTGAGTAAAACAGAGAATCTAAGTGATTTAAGTCAAGTAAACACCTTTATCCTAAATATGGTATCATTTGGTTGGGGGAGTAGGGGCTGAATTATTTCACCATGTAATAGGGTAAATTTTACATTTAAATCATTTACATGGACACAGACTTAATAAAAACCTGGCAAAAGCAATAATTAACTAAGAAGGTTCTATGTAGGAATTTTTAAATTTATTTTTATATGTGCTTTTGGATCAGCAGCTATGTTATACGGAAAACATTTGCTAATTATACTCTGTAATTCCTTCTATTAAGAGCTGATTCTTTTAAAGTATGCTACCTTTTAGGAGTGTGAGATAGAGGAAGGAGAGAAAGTAGATTTTTGTTAATTAAAAAATTAAATTAAATTTGCAAAATAAAATTGGTCATATTTGATAGGCAGCCTACATGATATATCTATATATGAGAGTTTAATGTCTCCATAAACTTGTATAGTTACACAGTCATAAATAATCCATTCCTTGATCTGGGGCCATTCTGCAGGAATCCAGTCTAAAAGTTTCTTTTTCCTCCTGTATTTTGTCCATTTAGGGCATCTGAGCTACAAAACAGTGTGGCTTATGATTGTGTGCAGCTCCATGGAGGATGGGGATACATGTGGGAATACCCCATTGCAAAGTGAGTATTTCTTAGGAAGAAAAATTGTTTTGTTATACTCTTTTTGAAGATGAGCAAATAAAGATCATGAATTCCATTGACTATAGATGAAATACAGAGAAAATTACCTATTAGCTAGATGACTGAGGATGACCATTATATGTGATAAAGCATACGGTAGCAATACTGCTTCTTGGCCTTTAGACAAAGTTTTTTAAAATCGTGTTTAAAATGAAAGAAAGTGAGGAGAAGGGTGTATCGTTATAGAGATTCATTTCATTCATTTGATTTTTTCAGCTTGTAATAAATAAGACCACCAGCCATTATGGTTTTTGAATCTTTAAAAAATTAGCTACTTAACATTAGTGTAGACAAAAGAAGGGCCTAGTATCTTAACTCTTGAAGATAATTTTACAGGAAAAATTAATGTGATTCCTCTTATTAGAAGTCCTAAAATAATAGTGTTTAAAGGTACCTATTCTGTGACTAACCTACATGTTTATAACTTGTCTGTGGAAACATGCCAATTTGTAAATAGGCAGACAGACACATTCCAGAGGTTTCTCCTTCCCCATAACTAACTCCCTCCCTTTACTGTTATGTTTGCCACATCGGTCTTCCCACAGCATTCTCCTCACAGAGCTTAGGGAATGTGTTTTTTCCTCTGACTCACCCAGATTAAGAGTTTACACACACTGTCTCCACAAAAAGAAAAATTCAGGCTTAACACACAAAAGGTTGCTTTATTTCTAATCCAATACTGAGAAGGCTGTGGGATTTATAAAAACCGTACTCATTTTACTTAAATTTTATTAGATTATCTGAAGGGAGGGGAAGAAAACCATTCTTTTTCCAAATTTGGCTTCAAACTTGGGCAGTCCTAGACTTTCAAAACCTGTCACTTTGCTTGGCTTAGTTATAAACATTTTGGTGCGCTTCTAGTCCCTAATGAGAATAGCAGCTGTCAGTTATATCAAAACAAAATACTCCCACTAACTAGTTAAGAATAGAAACAGCGTACACATAACCTGTTAATTTTCTCATCTTTTTTTGGTAGACATTGATTGGTTCAGACCAGGGGTGGGAAACCTGTGGCCTCGAGGCCACATGTGACCTCTAGGCCCTTTGACTGAATCCAAACTTCACAGAACAATTTGAAATTCAAGCCTGAAGGCCACAGGTTCCCCACCCCTGGTTCAGACTAATCATGGCGTATTTATTTTAGTGTTTAAATAAAATAGAACAGTTAAGGTTTCTACTGGGCCTTTTTTTTGCTATGTATAAACCCTCTTGGAACTGTCTCCAAAAAGTCTTAAATCAAAAACAAGTATTTTCCTGTATCCCACTGGTATTAGAAATAACTTTGTATACCATCCTGGACTCCTTATTTTCTCTCACCTCCTATGTCCAGTCTGTTGCCAAGTGCTGTTGATTTTACCTTTGTAACATTTCACATACCCCTTCTGATTCCCTCTGGTGATACTGCCACCATCCAGATGCAGGCCCTCATCACCTCGAGCCTGGACTATTACAGTGGTCTGCTGGTTGGAAGTCTCTTCCCCGTTCCAGTGCATCCTCCGTTCAGTCCTCGGTGATCTTCCTAAAGCACAAGCCTGGCCATGTCACGTCACACCCCCACCCCCACTCCCATTCCCATCCCCATCCCCATCCCCATCCAGTGGCTCCCTTTCACCTCTAGAATCAGATGTAAAATCCTCTTTTTGAGGTTCAAAGCCTTTGTTAACCTGATGCCTTCCTAATCTTCTTACATGTTACACCCCTCCACATATTCTGTGATCCAGTGGCAATGGATCAGACCCCAGACCCTCCCTGGTTGTCCCCCAACCCTTCCCCTTCTTTGCCTCCTTGCTTCCCTGGCTTTCTTTAAGTGCCAGCTAAAATCCCACCTTTTACAAGAACCCTTCGCTGATCCCCCTTAATTCTAGTGCCTTCCATCTGTTGATTATCTCCATTTTATCCTGTATATAATTTATTTATACGAAGTTGTTTAAATGTCGTCTCCTTCATTAGACTGTGAGCCCCTTGAGGATAGGAGCTACCCTTTGCCTTTCTTTGTATTCCCAGAGCTTACTTAGCATAGTGCCAGGCACATAGTAAGCACTTAATAAATGACTGATTCAAAAAGGCAAAATAATCCTTTAATGTCATGGTTCTATAACATTTAATTTTTTGTTCCATATTCTGAAACAATTTCCAGGTCTATTTTCACAAATTATGTTCACAGTGTATTCACAATTCATCGTGGAATGTGTGATGAAATAGTAGATTTGGCCCTTCAGTAGAACCACTTTTGAACCCTTTTGTGGAGTAGAAGATTCAGAGAGCATGTTATCATACCAGCAGTAGTAGTGGAAAGGGAGTGAAATAAAGGAAAGTTATGTACTTCTCTTTCACTTAACTATTGCCCCTATTCTAGAGTCACTGGTATGAAATAGCTAAACATTAATTAGGGTTTTTAAGGAAGGCACACAAAATGGAGAGGGGCCAGCATCTAGACTCTTTGAGCACAACAGAATTGTTGATCTTGTCTTTTTCAGGGATAATCACCTTTAGGTTATGCAAAAGGCACAACCTGATGGAACATTGGACATGTGTTGTCTGAATCTGAGAGACTCATTTCTGCCAAAGAATAATTATTAACCTTCATGGCAGTCCAGGGGTTAGATGAGCATTCGCATGAACTGTTTGTTTTTTTGTCCTAAACATAGAAGGAAGAATTAAGAAGTAGCTATATAAACCTTGGTATCACAAAGTTAATGAGACAAGTGCAGTGTATTAATATGCTATTCTTAGACACTTGGACCTGAGCTCTGATTTGACTGGAATATGGAATGCGGATACTTCCTCTATCAATTTAAATCATCTCCAACTTAGAGTTTTGGAGATGTGCCTAGGGAACTGAGAGGTTGAGTGATTTGCCCAGGATCACATAGCTAGTGTGTGTCAGAGGAGAGACCTGAACTCAGGCTTCTCTACTTTGCCATAATTCTTACTCAATCAAGAAGTCTTTCTTTTATTTCTCATAAGAGATAAGCTTCATTGTTGCAATAAGGTACTTGTTAAGACTTGATTTTACATGGAAAGTAACTTTAAAATAGCAGCATAGGATTTTGGAGTTTTAAGAGATCATAGAGATAATATTATTCCACTCTTTTGTTTTACTGTTGAGGAAACTGAAGGTTAAGTAACTTGCATGAGGTCACATGTATAGTAAGGGAAATCCTAGTATTCAATTTTACACCTTCAGACTTCAAACCCAGGGCTAGCTCATACTTCTCCCTTCCAGTCAAAGAAAATTAGTTTATTTCAGTCTCACTTAGGCTTTCATCTCATAGTATCAGAGAAGCAGTTTAAGCTTTGGTACTTTGTGACTGGGTATGAGTAAACATTCCTTCTCTTTCTTTTCCTGTTATTGTGTTCATGACTGAATTTACCCAGTAACTTATTAATTGTTCACTGAATGATTTAACGAAGCAGTATGGTATAGTGAAAGAACACTGTCTCTAAAGTCAGGACCTACGTTCAAATTCTAACACTCACTACATGTGGGACCTTAGGACCTTGGGCCTCCGTAAGTGTGTTTTATCCTCAGTAAAATGAGGGAATTGTACTATATGGCTTCAGTGACCCCTTTCTTCTCTAAATCTTTGGTCCTAAGATATCAGTGTGAGCTACTTTGAAAGGTCTGTGATATACGGGAAAATGACCAAGTCAATCTTAAAAACAAACATGCAAAAAACATCACTCTTAGTTTCTTTGGAATTGGCAAAATAGAATGTGAACATTATGAGCATTGGCTTTGGTAGCCGAAGGGTGGGAGAGATGAGACACAGAGAGGAGAAGGGAGAGAGGGGGAGGAAGAGGAGGAGAAGTTAGAGAAAGGGGGAAGAAGAGACAACGAAAGAGGAGTTTGAGAGGAGAGGGAGGGGTAGAGGAAGAGAGGGTATGTTGTGTGTGGGGGGGGGAGAGAGAGAATGTGAAAGTAAAAAACACTTGGAAACACCACTGTCCCTAGAGCTAAGTCTCAGTAGCTGGTGTGCAGTCAGACTGTTAAAAATAGCTTAGGTAGTGCTTAAACTCAAACATTTGTTAAATGTCTGCTATTTGCAGCAGCCACCATGTTAAATGCTGTGGAGGGAATATCCAAGAATATAAGGTATATGTAAAGAATGGAGTCAGATTCCAGGATTTTTTGGCCACATTTTCTACAGAGGTGGCATGTTATATTTGTCTATTTTGTATAATAGCCCAATTTTCATTCCTGAAATGATAGAAAATGTCTTGGAACATATCTCCTAGGGAGAAGAACCAAGCTAATGTTAACTCTGTTATCTTGGCTAATAAAAGTTGTATGAACTAATGTGAAAAGGGAACTGGACAAAGAGTGTGGAAACCTGGGCTTTAACTCTCAGCACTTCCATTGATTAGTGTTACCCCTCAATAATTGCCATTAATTAGAAGTGCTAAAGTTATTGAATTTCTTTGGGATTTGGTGTCCTCACCTATAAAAGGAGAATAATAGTAGACCTCCCACCGCACAGAGCTGTAAGGTGAAAAGGAGATAAAATGGAGGAGAATAAAAAGTGAAGAACACTGGAAAAGTGCAAGATGATTACTACTATAATTATTATTACCATGGGTGAAGTCACACTTACAGGTTTGTGTGGAAGACGCAGTCTGTCTATTAACCCTGCATATCACTGTAGTGTAGATACTGATTTTTTTGAATTCGGGAGACTTCCATTATCTGTAGGAATGATCTTTTCTAAAACACTGACTTTATAGCTGTGGGAGCCTATTGGGAAAATATAAAGCTTTTTTTTTTCTTTTACAAAAAATTCTTGGATTACAATTTTATTTAGAAAACACTGAGACCTGAAGGTAATTAAGATTTTTTTTTATATTTAAACCCCCAAAAATAAAAGGTTTCATTTCCTCCTGTGATTATGTTGGTAAATTGTAGAAGATTACATTGGAAAAAAATCATAACTGTGTTGCCTAATTAAATTTGTAATGTTCTCAAGCAATTACAATCTATGTGTTATAGTTCATGTTGTATCAGATTATTTAAAGAAACTAAATGCATGTTTTGTAGTTATTTCAATGCAAGGATAATACAACTGTGTCAAAAAAGAAAGCTCCCTCCCTCTTGGGAACTATCTAACATGAACTTTAAAATAATTACCCATTATCTAGTGGTACATACTTTACTATTTTTAAGGCTTCTGTTGTTCATTTTTTTTTCCTCCTCCCCACCCAGAGCATATGTGGATGCCCGAGTCCAGCCAATCTACGGTGGAACCAATGAAATAATGAAGGATCTGATTGCTAGAGAGATTGTACGTGACAAGTAAACATCTGCTCCCATCCTGGAATCTAATTACTGTTGATCTGGGTTTGAATTTCTTTATGATAGAAAACAAGCTGGAAAGGGAAAACGTATTTGAATTTTTTTTGTACAGGATGAAACAAAGTTTGGAGATGAAAAATTCCTTTGTTGAGGAAAAATTCTTTATACATCAACTTCTGAAATTTTCTTATGGGAGGTTTAACAGTTTATTTTACATAAACTGAAAAGGAAAAAGAATAATACATTTTAAGGTCTTAGTGGCTCAAATTTGAACTTAATCTAAAATTTTAAAATGACCCTGATTTGCGTTTGAGTTAACGTAGTCCAACTTAACTTGGAATAATTCCAATGTACTTTTGCAAAATTATTCATAGAATTTCTTCAGTTGCTGTGCCTGATGAGGCCTTACTTAGTATTGACCTTTCCATTTTGATTTGTAAGAGAATTATCATTTACTATCTTACCTTTCTTTAAAAACTCTGTTATATTTCATGGATCTCAAAGGATTGGCTCTTATTTCAGAATAAAATAATTAATGTCAATAAATGCAGCAGTTTAATTCGCAAAGAAACCACATTATTTAAGAATGTCTTGTGTATGTTAGTGAAACATCAAATGTTTTAAATAGTGGCATGTCTGTCATTGTGCTTTGTTTTGGGTTTTGTTTTATTTTTCTACTTCTCACTGGGGAGGACAGAGGTATTGTTGAGAACTGGTTGTCTCCTAAATTTATACCCATATTCACTGTGGATCCATACCCATTCCTCCATGCACCAGGGTAGATTTCCTTTCTCTGTGGCTTGTGACTCAGACAAAACATTTTCTTGACTATTAGTAGACTTCCCCTGAGGAAATATTTTTATCAGCAGCTACTTGGATGAAGATAAAGATGGCATCCTTATAAAATCTGCAGACAACCCAGTTCTGGCAGGAGTAAGTTATATGATAGAATCAGGGCCCAAAAAGATCCTAACAAGGTAGAATGATGAACTCCCTCAAATAATATGAAATTTTAAAATGTATCCACAAAGGCTTCCTCTGATGCTTCTTCCTGGTATGGAAGTGATCTTGAATTCTCCAAGTCTGTGCCAGCAGAGCCATGCCCTTGACAAGTTCTACCATCCTGGAAAGGTTTCAGGTGTTTGAAGCAACATTGGACTGGTCTGCTTTCCAAAGACCTGTCTAGCTAAGTACAGAGAAACTGACTTGTAGAGTGGACTTTTGGTGATGAATTCCCTAGCTGTGACCCATCCATTAAACACACAGTTTGTGTAGCCCTTTCTGTACTTCTGTAATGCTGGTATCATGGGATATAAAGAATCTCAGTTTTCAGATTATTTATAAGCATTAATTCATTTGTTGGATATAAATGGGATAGACTTTTCCACTGACCAGTAAGTGGACATATTGCTGGAGAATCAAAAAAATTGAATCAAACCTGTCTTTAAAATTCTTGCTACAAATGAGACCAGAAGGTAAAAGAAAGTTGCACCTAAACTGAAGGATAACTCACAGTTTCCTTGGAGAAACCAGTAAAGTTATTGGTGACACTGGTTGTGTCATACTTCTAAAGGCAACAGGAAACTTTTCATGGGACATTTGTTCGTCTGTTGTAGTACTTACAATGAGCAATTTAAAAAAAAATCATGAAAATAATTGCACTGTATGCATAAACATTGATTACAAAGATGAAATTGAGAAATGTTTGAAAGAATTTTCAAAGACTTCACATTAAATAAATATACTTTAATGGTCAGTAATAGCAGTGCAAAGGTGGTAGAGAGGAGGATGACAAAAATGTATTAGAAAGCATGGATAGGATTAAATAACAAGAAGGGTCAAAAGTTTATAGACCAGGGGCAGCTAGGTGGTGCAGTGGATAGAGCACCAGCCCTGGAGTCAGGAGGACCTAAGTTCAAATCCAGCCTCAGACACTTGACATTTACTAGTTGTGTGCCTGTGGGCAAGTCACTTAACCCTGTTCCCTAGCCAAAAAAAAAAAAGAGAGAGAAGTTCATAGACCAAAGAGAAGCTTCACACCTATGAATCAATTATTTTCTTAGGAAAAAGAGTTGAGACACTGGACATGACAAATACTCAATAATGCCACAAAATGAAATATTTTAATAGGCAAGAAAGGACTGGCTACTGATATAGGAGCCATTTCTAAGTCAGCTTTCTGTACAATTAGATTACTCTTTTTTAGAGCAAAAATAAAAGTAAATGCTGAATGAGAAAATAGAGCATGCAGTTGAGACAACTTCAACTATCTCACCTATTTAAACAAGATCAAGAACATCAAAGGAACTAACTGAAAAAAAATGTAAAGAAAGGAGGTTTAGCAGCACCAGATCTTAAACTGCATTATAAGACAGTACTTTCAAAACTATCTGGTACTGGCTAAGAAATAGAAAAGTAGATCAGTGGAAAGGAATAGACATACAATCTATAGCAGCAAACGAATATAGTTACCCAGTGTTTGACATGTGGAAAGACTTAAAGTTTTCAGGATAAAAACTCATTATTTGGTAAAAATTGTTGGGAAAGCTAGAAAGCAGTTTGGCAGAAATTACCAAGATATGGTCAAAATGGATACATGACCTACGTATGAAGGGAGATATTGCAAGAAAATTTAAAGAACATAGAACATATTACCAATCAGACTTATGGATAGGTGAACAATTTGTGAGCAAAGAAGAGATGGAAGGTATTGTGAGATGTAAAATGGTTAAATTGGATAACTTTGCATTAAATTAAAAAAGGGTTTGTACAAATGAAACAAATGTAGCCAAGATCAGAAGGAAAGCAGAAAACGGGGGGAAATTTTATAGATAGTTCTTCAGATAGAGGTCTCATATCTGAAACTTTGTCAAATCTATAAGAATTTGAGTCATTCCCCAATTGATAAATGGGCAAAGGATATGAACAGGCAATTTTCTGATGAAGAAAAAACAAGTTATAGTCACGAAAAAATACTCTAAATCATTATTGATTGGGGAAATGCAAATTAAAACAACCTTGAGATATCATATTATACCTATCAGATTGGCTAAAATGATAGAAGGGGAAAGTGACAAATGTTAGAAAGGATGTGGAAAAACTGGGACCTTAATTCCTTGTTGGTGGATTTGTGAGCTGATCCAACAGTTTTGGAGAGATTTGGAATTATGCCAAAAGAGTTATTAAACTGCCTACATCCTTTGACCCAGCCATGTCAATGTTAGGTCTATTTCCCAAGAGGATTAAGGAAAATGAAAAAGATGCCCGTCAATTGGGGAATGGCTAAATAAATTGTGGTACATGTTCATGATGAAATATTATTCTCATATAAGAAATGATGAGCTCAATGCTTTTACAAAACCATGGAGAGAGCTCCATGAAATAATTAAGAGCAAAATGAGCAGAATCAAGAGAACACTGTATACAGCAACAGCAGTACTGTTTTAAGACCAACTTTGAGCAACCAAGTCATTCTGACCATTATAAATACCCAAATTAACCTCAAAGATCCTCTGAAGGAAGATGCTGTTTGAAGCTAGAAAGGAATATTGCCGGGGTGTAGGAAATGAGGAGCTGGTTGATTTAGAAAAACATGAAAAGACTTGTACTTATGATGTAAGATGCAATGCACCTTCAGAAAAACAGATGATAAGAAGAAATAACGATAGTATGGTCTTACACGTGTATATTAGTATATATATGCATATATATATATGTTTATAGATATCTATGTGTATATATATATATATATCCATGCTTAATTGTAGCCTTCTTCGGCGGGGGGAAGGGAAGGGAAAAAATATAAAGTAAAAAGTGCACAGTAGAGAACAAAAGGAAACCAACAAGGAAACAAAGAAAAGTTGGGCACCTCTGAAAACAATGTGTATTATTTATTATATAGGTTTTCTTGAAATGGAAATTTATTGTTTTATATTGAATCCTACCTTATGGTCTGCTGTGTACATGGCAATTTTTTTTTCTTTTCTCATTTTGTGTTTAAGTGTGAAATTAAAAACATTAACAAAAAAGTTATAAGAATAGCTACTTAAGGTTTATAAAAGCACAATGAAGAATTCTAAAATATTAAATTATTTTTATTAGCACATTTTGAATTGTTACAATAGACTCATAAATACCCAGACTCCCCACAAAGTAGTTTCCAAAAACATTTAAACAAAACTTCCTGAAAGTGATTGCCACTTACTATACATTTTGCATTTGTATAGATTAACACAAATGTTTTGCCTTAGTATTTTGGTACCAAAGCTGTCCATTTCATGTGACCTGAGTTTTGTTGCTATTTTACATTGCTTCATTCACATCATTGTCGTGTATTTTTTGCCCCATCTTAGATACCAACCAGAAAGCCTAGTCCTTGACTTATGCATCCCAGACTTAGACTCATAAAGGATAACTCTGAAATAATATTCATAACCATATGTTCTTTTTTGGAAAATTATTATAACATGATATAATTGAGCAATCAAATGTCTATCAGATACTTCCCTTATCTATCAGAATGAGAAACTAATTCTTAGAAAGAATTTCTTGTATTGCATAACTTTTCTTGTATTGCACAGTCTTTTTAATGAGTAAACTGGGTTAGGGTTATAAACTCCTATGTTATTCAAATCCTACTGTTCGTGAAGTTTGCCCAGTGTGTGCTCTTGAAGGTTCTTCCAGCATAGAGCAAGTTCTGACAGGTCTTTCCAAGTTTGAAAGACTTTAAGTATGGGCCTAGTGATGGACTGCCTATGTCCTATCTGCTGACCAGTCTAGTTAAATTGCAAAAGGCTTGTCACGAGCTTCACTGCAGCATAATGATTTTTTTTTGGCTATAGCAAGTATTGGAGTTAAGACAACAATCATTTATATGTGTGTGTGTATAATATTGTACATTTTCTGGCCTCTCTACAGGATTAATAACAGTGAAAGATTTATATATTTATGTGTATTGCTAGTCAGATATATAACCATTACATTTTTGCAAGGTTTGTAATCTTAAAATTTTACTGCCAGTGTGTCCTCACATGCATCAAATTATCAAAGATGATAAAAATTGAAATAGTTGCTGTTGGAGGGTTTGTTGGAAGACTGGTACATTAATACACATTGGTGAAGATATAAAGTGACTAACCATTTTGCAAAACAATTTGAGACTCTGGAAGAAAAGTCACTAAATTATTCATACTCTTCAACCCAGCAATCTCAGTACTGATCATATGTCCCCACAAATGATAAGAAGAAAGGTCCCGTATGTATCAAAATATTCTTAGCATTCCTTGTCACAGCAAAAAAAAAAAAAGTTGGTGCCTATTTATTGGTATATAACTTTATCAATTAAATGAGTTGCTATTACAGTAAGCGGGGGGCAGGAATTCAGAGAAATTTGGGAAGACGTATATGAACTGATGCAGAACAAAGTAAGTATAACTGAGAAAACAACATACCAAATGACTGTAATAAATGATAACACCACTAAAAGCAGTCTCTGCAATGACCAATTTTGATTACAGTGGACTGTTTATGAAATATGTCTCCCTTCTTTTAACAGAAAGAAGGTAGT